TTAATTTTTCTTATTTTTTAAATTATTTAAAATTTATTTATTTAGAGGGAGGAGAGGGAAAGAGAGAATCTTAAGCAGGCCCCACACCCAGCACAGAGCCTGACATGGGGCTCGATCTCATGACCCTGAGATCATGACCTGGGTGGAAATCAAGAGTCGGACACTTAACCAACTGAGCCGCCCAGGCGCCCCCGGAAGTGTGTCTAAATTTGAGGGGTCGGGGTATAAGGCAGAGTTCTGCACCTGGGGCCGGGCAGGGAGCACAGCCTGTAGGGACTCTGCTCAGAGAGCCCACAGTGCGGGAACCAAGGCTATCTGCAGGGGGCAGCCGGGGCCCGGTGCAGGGGGGGCTGTGGTTATCGCCACACAACCCCCACGTAGCACATCATGTGTTCCCTGCCTGGGCCTCCAGCCACAGCAGTCAGGTGACCCCCGGCAGCAGGCCAGGCTGCAGGAGCGAGAGGGAGGGTGGAGTGTGTGTGTGTGTGAGTGTGTGTGTGTGTGTGTCCATCCCTGGGCAGCCCAGACATCTAGAGTCTGAATTGATTTCTTTTTTCACAACCCTGGGCAAGTCCTGTATTTCCAGCTAGGTTTAAAATAAAACAAACCTTCTGTGCATAACCCTGCTCTGCCGGGCCATGCTGGGGGGCATTCCGGAGTTCCAGGGAGCAGTAGGGGTCCAGCCAGCCAGGGGTCAGACCCCCGAGGGGGGACAGGGATCCTCTGCTCATCCTGTCCTCCCCATATCAGCACAAAGCCCTAATCTCTCTCTCTAGGTCTGAGGATATTTTTAACCACTAAGAAGGATTATCAGAGTCTGGCTCCCAGGTGGCAGGGGCAGGGCTGGGAGTGAGGCCAAAGAGGCTTGAAGACACAGCAGCCTTGCTGGGAGACTAGGAGCAGGGCAGGGGTGATGGGGATTTAGGCTCAGGCTGGTTGGGCTGGACCAGCCACTCACTCATTCAGTGATTCTCCAAATGACCCCTCGGTGGCCTTGGCCAAGCCCAGCCTGAGTTCACCAGCTACAGCTTTAAGGGAAAGCTGCAGAGGTCAGGGAGGTTCTGGGAAGAACCTTCCAGAACCTGCTGCATGCAGGCCAGCACCCCTCCTCCCCAGACTGTCCCTCATCCCAGCTTCCCCTCTCCGCTGCTAACAACATGCAAGTTAGTCCTACGTAGCGCTCACTCCACCACCCCGTGTGCAAAGGGTTCTTGTTACCCCATTTCACAGATGAGGGAACGGAGGCACAGAACAGCCTGGTTGCCTGCCTTAGGTTGCTCGCCTGGTAAATGGGTGAGGCAGGAATCACCTTGCTGTGATACCAGTGTGGAGTGTTGGTGAACTGCCTGGCCCCCTGGGCCCCATACAACAGCCTGGAAAAACAGGCCATCTGGCTGTACCCATTTTTCAGATGGGGCAGCCGGGCCCAGTGTGGCAGAGTCACAGGAAATGAGCAGAGGAGCTGCGGCCCAAAGGAGAAAACTGAAAATTGATGAGGAATGCCACCCTGAGCCTCATTCCTTCCCGTCCCCTGGGAAGGACGTGTCTGTTGGAGGTCAGGTGGGGAGTGGAAGAGAAGTCTGGGCCTTGCTGGCCATGAATGTCCAGTAACAGCCGCACCTGAGCCCCTCCTGTGTGCTAGGAGGGGACAGACACACAGGTGAGAGAAAGGGTAGGGCTTCCAGGGCTGAGACCTCTGCAGTCAGGTGGGGTAGTCTGACATGGACGCCAGAAAGGGCTGGGCTTGCTTTGGCTGAGGGGACTGGGGTTCCAGGCTGATCATGCTTCCTTCCTTCTCCATCCCCCACTGTCTCTAAAAAGACTTCATAACTAGCTCCAAACATCACAGTGAGTGAGGCAGGGCTGGGGGAGTGCACTTTAACTAAAACCCAAGGTGGAGGCAATCAAGAGGTACCTCCAGGAGGAAGCGACAAATGAACTGGGTTTTGAGGGATGCCTAGGAGTTTGCCAGACAGACAAGAAAGGTGTGTAAGCCCTCTGGAGACAGAGACCTTGCCTGCTTCCCTCACTGTTTAGTGTCCTCAGCACCCAGCATAGGGCAGTAAACATTCAATGGGCATTCTAGGCAGAAGACAGCACTTGTAAAAGCTGGCTGTGTGAAATCCTATGGTGTGGTGGGAGCAGAAAGTGTCAGGCAGTGAATGGGGGGCTTGGAAGCCGGGACATCGGCGGAGGCCCGAGATTGGAAGATGTCCTTGCTCTTGCGTGTTCCCCCTTGTCTCTGAAGCTCATCACGATTTACAAGCAGCACAGCGGTGGTGGATCCTCATCTGGGCACCCCTGAGTGAGAGAAGAATATGGGATTGGGGGCCTGGACTCCTGGATACCTGCTTCGGCTCTGGCCGGCGGGGGGCTTTCCTGGGACTCCCAACCCATTTCCATCTGCGCTGTGCGGGGGGGGGGGGGGGGGGGGGGGGCGGTTGAGAGAGTGGGAGGAGGCTGGAGAGGCCGTGCAGTGGGCGTGGCTCCGGTTGGGAGGTGGGAACGCCCCCGCTGGGCATGCGCCCTCAGGCCCCAGGGGGTGCTCCAGATCAAGCCAACCTTGCCTGTTAGTGAAGCTAGTTTCTTGTGGAGCAATCAACCACCCAGGCATGTGTTCCCTGCATCCATCTGTCCATTCTGTCTGGGTCGTCTGAGCCTGGGGGGTCTAGACTGGCCATGTCACACACCCTTGACCGTTTGTCAAGCTGCTGCCACAGCTCGTCATCTCGCTGACTGCCGGATGCCCCACGGGCGGGGTCTGCGGGCTGCTCCTTCATCTCCCCTCTCCCTGGGCCATTCCATCCATCCCCATGGACTTGAACGTCAGCCACATGCTGGTTCTGAGACCCAGACTCTAACAATTTTTCTTTTTTCTATATTTGACTTGTGATGTTATGATTTATGGTAAGAAATAAAAATTTGGTCTTTGACCCTGGTCTCACACAGAGCCTAAAACCCTTGGAATTTCCTGCAATAAGAGTGATCTAGGGGTCTTTTGTTAGGTTAACACGGTGACTTTTGGAAAGCCCCTGGGTCATGGAAGGAGAGGGGCTGGGTGTCAGGGAAGGCAACCATGAATACAGAGTAGAAATTCAGTGCCGCCCCCTCCCACCTCCAGGGAGGGGAGAGGGGCTGCAGGCTGACTCACTCATCAATGATCAATGATGTAATCAAGCATGCCTTTGTAATGAAGCCTCCCTGACAACCAGAAGGGTGAGGTTCAGAGAGCTTCCTGATTGGTGCACGCATGGAAATTTGGGGAGAGTAGTGCGCGTGGAGGTGGGCGCCCCTCCCCTACACCTTGCTCTTCCATCCGGCTATTCCTGAGTTGTGTCCTTTTGTAATGAAATGGTGATCTAGTAAGTAAAATGTCTCTCTGAGTTCTGTGAGCCACTCCAGCAAATTACTCAACCCCCCCAGGAGGGGTTCCAGGGATCCTTTGATTTATAGCCAGTTGGTGAGAAGCACAGGTGACAATTTAATTTAGACACACTTGGCGGCTGAAGTTGGGGGGACAGTCTCTGTAGGACTGAGCCCTTACCCTGTGGGATCTGATGCTGTCTCCAGGTAGGGTGTCAGAACTCAGTTGAGTTGCAGGACAGCCAACTAGCGTCGCGGGGTGGGGGACAAGCCCACATGGTGGAACTGGAATCAGAATTGTAGACTTGTAAAGTGCAGGCATTCTAATTGGCACGAGTAAAGGGCCCACATCACTGATGCATAACTCAGTGAATTTTCTCAACGAGAAGAGCACCCGGATCAGGAGACAGAACATGCCAGCCTTAGGCAGCCCCACAGGGCCCCTCTGGTCACTGCTTGTCCCCAGGGCAGCCACCTGTCCGATGCCCAGCAATGTGTTAAGCAGAATAATGCCCCCTAAAGATGTCCACGTTCTAATCCTGGAGCTTCATGTGGCAAAGGGGAATAGAGATTGCTGATCAGCTGACCTTGACATAGGGGCTGACCCCAGATTCCCCAAGTCTTGATTAGAGGGAGGCCGGAGGGTCAGAGAGAGAGATGTTGGCTTTGAAGACAGAAGACGGGACCCTCATCCAAGGAGTGTAAGTGGCCTCTAGAAGCCAGAAAAGGCAGGTACAGATTCTCCCCTGGAGCTCCAGAAGGAGCCCAGCCCTGCCCAGCCTTGCGTTCAGCCCAGCAAGCCCCATCTCCTGAGCCCCAGAACTGAGAGAGAGAGTACATCTGCATCGTTCGAAGCCGCCGAGTTAGTGGTAACCTGGGACACTGGCCACGGGACACTGATGCTGGCATTCTCCGTTGGCTTTGCCTGCTGTTGAACTTGATGAAAATGGAATCCTGTGTGTGTACGTCTCTTCCTCTGGCTCCTGTCTGGAGGGTGTTCAGTTATTGGGGGCTCTGCCTCCAAAATGTCTCTGCAGGGGCGCCTGGTGGGTTCAGTCGGAAGATCGTGCAGCTCTTGATCTCGGGGTCATGAGTTCGAGCCCCATGTTGTGTGTAGAGATTACTTAAAAATAAATAAACAAACTTAAAAAAGTCGTCTCTGGAAACCTGCTCCTCCTCTCCACCCCCTTCCGGTGGATAGCACCTCCTTCTGGCCTCCAAAAGGCCACTTCCCACGAGGCCGCCAACCCCCCATGGCTTGTGTTCTTACCTAAAATAAAACCAAGAACCCTCAGAACCCTCAGACTGCATGGGTGGGAGTGGAAAATGGTACAACCACCCCAGAAAACAGTTGGGCCATTGCTTATGAAGTTGGACAGGCAGCTTCCCTGTGATCCAGCCATCCCACCCCTGGGGGTTGACCAGGGAGACGTGTATGCTCCTAACAGCTTTGCTCATAATCACCCCAAACGGAAAGCATCCCAGTCACCCATCAACAAGCAAATGATATGTATCCACGATTCAGTAGAAAAAAAAGCTACCAATAGATGCTATGACATGGATGAATCTCAAAACCATTACACAGAGCAAAAGAAGCCAGACACAGAGATGGAGTGTGTGATTCTGTTTCTATGAAGTTCTAGCACAGATGGGACGAATGCATGGTGGAAACAAAAATCGGGACAGAGGTGACCTTTGGACGGGGGAGATGGAGATTGACCAGAGAGGGGCACAAGAGCTTTGTGGAGGGACGGGAATATCCGTGGTTGGAGGCTGCGTCATGCAGGTACCTGTATTTGTCCGAACTCAGCGACTGTACACTTAAGGATTTATGCATTTCGCTCTAGTAAATTTTATCTTCAAAGAAAAAAAAAACATTAGCAAATACTGAAGCCTAGCTAATGATCTGCATGCTGAAATATTTAGGGGTGATGCAGCTTGATGTCTGCTGCTTATTTTAAAATGCATCTGGAAAAATAAAATGGCTGGATTGGGGGGGAGGGGGGGCGGATGGGTGGGGGAAGGAGGGGGGCAGATGGATGCACTGACAGACATGAAATAGAGCAGGTAGAGCAAAATGTGGACGGTAGAATCTAATGGTGGGTTCTGGGAGTTCACTGTAAATTCTTTCAACTTTTCTTTAGGTTTGAAATTTTTCATCACAAATGTTGGGGGAAGTCATCCCAACTCCTCCCTGAAGCCCACAGGCCCTGCATGACCTACCCCTGTCCCCCTCCCTGCCTTCCCCGCCTCACTCTCTCCCCCTCACTCATTCTGCTCCAGCCACAGGAGCCTCTTGCTGTTCCCCCAACACTCTGAGCTCGGTTCTGCCTCAGGGCCTTTGCACCTGCTGCTTCTTTCTCTGAAAGTCCCTCCCTACCACCACTACTCTCTTCTGCATAAACCCAGGCCCTCCTCATCTCTGGGTCTCCGCTCAGATGGTATCTCCTCAGGCTTTCATTGGTCACCTCATTTAAAATCATGGTACCCTGCTCATTTTCAAGCAGCCCCATCACACAGTCCTATCTCATTTATGAATCTGTGTACTTGTGTGTTGGACTGAGAGCTCCACGGGGACAGGAATGGGTCTGCTTTTTTTCCCGCTGTGTCCCCAACACCTAGCCGCATGCTGGCATGAACAAGTCAGAGAACAGAGGGACAGCTGGGTGGGCAGATGGATGGACGGACAGACAGATGGGTGGATGGACAGATGGGTAGATGGACAAGGTGGGCAGGCGGATGGATGAACAGATGACTGGATGGATGGATGGACAGATGGATGACTGGTCAGTGGGTTGGTTGGTGGTTGGACGGACAGATGGATGGACAGGCAATGAGTGGATGGACAGACAGGTAGATCAGCAGATAAGAAGGCGGATGGATGGATGGATGGATGGGATGGACGGACATAATGATGAACAAACATCCCAAGTGGGGACCAGTGTGGGGGTCTGGGCACTTGTCTTAAGATCTCAGGAAAGGGCAGAGCTGCTTGGGCTCCTCAAGATGGCTGCTGGAAAGCCTTCTCAGGGGAAGGAAAGCTCACCTGATTACCGCTCCAGTGACCTGGTGAGCACGTCATCACTAGGCACGCTTGCCCGGCCGCAGCCCAGCCTCATAGCAAGCGAGGCTGCCGACGTTCACACCTGGAAGGATGCTCAGGAAGCGAACTGCAGATTTCCTCAACTGGTCATCTTTGGGCTGCACTGGAGGCACTTTCCCACATGACAGGAGACCTTCCTGGACATTTGAGAACTCGACTTTATGACCCCAGTCAGCCAGTCCCCTGACTTCTGGCCACCTCTTTTGCACCTGTGAAGTGCAAAGTAATAACCCTTTTCATGAGGTGTGTTTTCAGGGCTAGCAGGCACCCGGGGAAGCACTTGGTGTTGTCAGGCTGGGCTGACAGGTGGGCTACTGCCCCTGTTTGACAAATGAACTTGAGATTCAGAGCGGTCAGGTCACTTGCCTGAGGGCACTCAGCCCAAGTCCCTCCTTAACCCAGGCTGTAATAAACTCAAGGTTGCCGGGCATCCAGGGGGCAGGCGGTGAGGATGGGGTGGTGGGCCCTCCCGCGAGCTGCGCTCCCGTTAACTGGACCATGTGCCCACAGGATGTGGTCCAGCCTCAGCGAATGGTTTTGGCAGGAGAGGCTGTGGCTGCCACCCAACAACTCGTGGGCTGCCCTGGAAGACCGGGATGGCCTGGTCTACGCCCACCCCCGGGATATGCTGGCAGCCCTGCCCCTGGCGCTGGCCCTGGTGGTCATGCGCTTCGTCTTCGAGAGGTGAGTGTCCGCCTCTCGGCGGTGCCCGGCTCCGCTGTCGTTCCCCTGTGCGCAGTGCTCACCCTGGCCATCCGTCCTGTGTGGTTTTCGTCCTAATGCATCCTGGATGGAGCCTGGCTTGGAGGCCGTGCCTTTCCCGGCTCCACCTTGCCCCTAGCCGCCACCGCCCACACTCTTCCAGCCTCTGAGGGGCTGGTTTGCTGTTACCGCCGAGGCCTGCCGCTTGGGTCTGGGCGTGCCTTGGGTGTCGTCAGCAAATGGCGGGAGGCCCCGGAGGGCGTGTTCTTGCTTTGCTGACCAAGGATGGGTCTGCAGAGGCCAGTCAGCAAGCAAAGAAACTTTTTTTTTTCTTTTTAAGATTTTATTTGAGAGAGAGAGATCACCAGCAACGGGGGGAAGGGTAGAGGGAGAAGCAGAAGCAGACTCCCCGCTGAGCAGGAAGCCCAATACGATGGGGAGGGGGCTCCATAGGACCCTGAGATCATGATCTGAGCCGAAGGCAGATGCTTAACCACTTAACCAAAGCAAAGAGCAAAGACATTCTTGCCCACCCCCTCCTGCCTCTCTCCTATAGGCAAGGTGACCCTCAACCTCACCATCCCCCCTCAGCCCTCACAAACCCCCATCCCCCACAACCCCCAGCTCACCCCACCATCCCTCCCTCACTCCCCCACCTCACTCCCCCTGCCATCCTTCCATCAGCCCCCTACTATCCCTCTCTCACCCCCCACCTCACCCTCTCCACCCCTCCCTCCTGGCTCCTAACACCTTCCCTCCTCCCTCTGTAGCCAAAGGAAGGAGCAAAAGCACTCTGGCCTCCCCTTTTGTGCCTAAACTAGCCCTGCCTCCCCTTCCCCTGTCCCCATCCCCAGCCTCTTGCAGCCTGGTGCTGCCCCCCCCCCCCCCGAATATATGTCACCACCACCCCCACAGGTTCCCAGCAACCTGATTGCCAAACCCTGTAGATTTTCAGTCATTTCTTATGGGACCCAGACACTGATTCAAACTGGGTCTCCTCCTCTTTCCCTGGCTGGCTGTCTCCTGGGCCAGAACATCTCTCCTGGCGTCCCTTCCCTGGTCCCAGGTAGCCCCACCCTTCCCACCTGACCAGCCCTGTAGTCAAAGCTTTCAGACCTGCCCTGCCAGGCCCCTTTGCTGCTGGCCCCCCATGATCGGCCACCCCCGCAAGGTTCCCCCTCCCGCCTCCCTCCCTCCCCACGCCCTCCGCAGGTCCACTACCTCTTATGCGGCCACCTGGCCTCTGCACTCACCCCTCTGCAGTTCCTTCAAGGCTGGGTTGCAGGAAGCCCGCAGGGCCCCTCTGCTGTCCCTCCCCCACTCCCCAGAGCCCTTCGCCCCCTTCAGCCTCTGCTTTGGGTCCCTGGCTTTGTCCTGCCCTGACCACAGGGACACGGGAGCATTCTGCATCTTGCTCTGTCTCTCCGGTTCCTGAGGAGCTTCCTGGTGTCTGGGCTCCCTGGATACAGCCTGGACCCCGGGGGGACCCAAGGAATACCCACTGAGGTTGTATTTATTTAACAGATACCCTCTAAGCACCTACTCTGTGCCCACCATTGTTCTGAGCAGCTTATGCGTCTTAGCTCTCGGGGCAACCCCGTGAGGTGGTACTATTATCCCCATTTTACAGACTAGGAAATGGAGGCCCAGAGGTCAAGGGAGGCCTGTGGTCACACAGAGGGTAGGTCATCTGGGACTGAGGCTTTGCCTGAGGGATTCTAAGAGGCTCAAGACAGCCAGGCTTTGAAGGGCGAGTCACCAGCTTTCCTGCGGGGTGTGGGGGTGGAAGGACGTGAGACTACGCCCAGGTTCACTACTGGAACCTGGAGTGGGGGGTTGTGTATTTAATTAATGGCCTCATCAGAGGTAGGGGGTTGTGTTCACATCCCAGAGGTGTCCTTTCAAAGGGCCATGGGGATGAGATAGCTTTTCCAGTGTCGAAGGCAGAGGTTCTCGCCATTTTGAAGTAAATCCTGGGCCAGTCTGCTACCCACTCGCTGTGTAACCTTGGGCATCTCTCTGAACTGTCTGGGCCTCAGTTTGCCCATCAAGACAATGGGGACTTTGACAATAGAGCTAAATGAGCCGGCAGCTAATGTGCACTTGGACCCATGCTTGGCAGATGTCAGCACTCAAGAAATGATAGTCCCCTCCTCCCCCACTCCCCATCATGACTGAGTCTGGAAGGAGTTTCTTGCTGAGCTGCTCTGAGCCTCAGTTTCCCCAAATGCAGGGTGATGTTTGGTGCGTAGGAAGTTCCGGGGGGCAGGGTCTAGTGGGACGTATGATGACTGGCCAGGGACCGGGCCCCTCCACATGTCTGCACTGGGAGAAGGGAGGCCTGAGTGGAGGCCTGAGTGGGAGTGCCCCTGCTCCTTTCTGCCTGTGGGGACCCCCCAGCCTGGCAGGAGACAGACAAGGACCCGGACCACCATGAGACAAGCAGTGAGGGGTCTCTCCTTCCTGTTTGGAACTGAGTGGAGCTGCCTGAGACCCCGAAAACTAACCTCCACATCCCCACCCTGAAGACCGGCCGCCCAGCTGTCTTTCTTAGGTTTGGTCCCAGTGCAGCGGCCAGGCTACCCCTCCAGGCTCCCAGTGTGTGACCTGGCCCCTCTGAGCCTCAGTTTCCCCACCTGGATTGACAGGCTCTGTCTCCCCTGCACCCAGATTTGTTGGCATGCCCCTGAGCCGGTTGCTAGGTGTGCGCCATCATGCCAGGAGGCTGGCGAAGCCCAATGCCACTCTGGAGAAGTACTTCGTCACAGAAGGGTGGAAGCCCAAGGAGGTGAGAGCCCCCCGATGCCCCTCTCCATCCCCGTCGGCCTGCGGGGGGGGGGGGGGGGGCGTTTGGATGGGGCCTGGGGGTGGGATGGGGCCTGTTGTCAGGAACAGGGAAAGCCCAGGGCAGCCTCTGTGCCCCCACAGCGCTCCTACGCCCACTCCACCAGCCAGCCCAGCTGTCCCAGTGGGCAGATCCTGCGCCTGGGGGGGGTGGGGAGCAGGTCTCTGCTGAGCTGGTAAGAGAGGAAGGCCTGACTGCTGGGGGTTGGGGGGGCGTCGACCACAGCAGACTTGTACTGTGGCTCTCGGTAGAGGGGACCTTCCCCCTCCGTGGTCACCCTCCCTCTGCAGGTAGGGGTGGAAGGCAAGGTCTCAACTACCTGCCTGGGGCGGGGGTAAGACCTGACTCTTCTGGAAGGGTATAGGAAAACCTCTAGGGGGCTGCCCCACCCCCAGCCGCTTTTAGTCCCAGTCCCCATCAGCCACCTGCCTCTCCTGTGAGCAGGGCTGATCTTCATACTGCCTGTTTTGGGGGGACCCCCCCATGTCCATAGGCAGACAATCCCACAGGCGAGGTCTAGGGTGGGGGGGGGAGCACAGCTGGGTCTCATCTGTCCTGGGACATGGACGGGAAGCCTCCTCTGTGACTCCCCCCGCATCACCTCTCCCCAGCCCCAGATGGCCCTCCTGGCGGCCCAGTGTGGCCTCACACTGCAGCAGACCCAGCGCTGGTTCCGGAGGCGCCGGAACCAGGACCGGCCCTGCCTGACCAAGAAGTTCTGCGAGGCCAGGTAAGCCCGGGGTGGGGCTGAGGCGGGGGCTCTGGGGGTGCGGGGCGGGGGGGTGGAGCCCGGGCCTCCTCCGGTGGCTGCCTCATGGGCTCCCTCCCCATCTGCAGCTGGAGGTTTGCTTTCTACCTGTGCTCCTTCTTTGGTGGCTTGTCCATCCTCTACCACGTGAGTGTTCCTGGCCGCTTGCCTGCCCCGCCACCCATCCCACAAGCCCTTGCGGTGCACTGGGCCTGGACGGGGGGTGCGGAGGGGTTCGGGCAGAGGGAGCCCCTGCAAAAGCGTCCGCTCAGGTGCCTTTTGAGGACACGCTGTGCACCGGAGCTGGGGGTCCGCAGCCCACAGCTCTGGGTCTAGAATGAGAGCAGCCCTGGGGAGGGCCCCCCCGGGGGGTAGAGGGCTGGGCTCTGACCTCTGGGCAGCCTCAGACTCCCGTGTCCCTGCAGGAGTCATGGCTGTGGACACCGGCAATGTGCTGGGACAGTTACCCAAATCAGGTGAGTGGCAGGTGGAGCTCGGAGGCTGGGGGTGGGGGTGGGGTGGTTAGAGTTCCTTCAGCCACGGGCGGGCGGGAGAGCCAACCGCGGACATCACACGACTCCCCTTCGAGTTCCACTCTGTATTTTTGCCTCCCCTGCGGAATGGGGAGGGGCCAGACACCGGGAACCTCCGAGCAGGAGCTGCTGCAAAACCACTGGCCCTTGACTACCTCCGGGGACGGGGAGCTTACACCTTCTTCACTCATTGGGATTCAAGGGTCCTGCTTCTGAGCAAGCGAGGAGGGCCCTGAGCCATGCCCCGCCACCCCCGAGCCCCGACCCCCCCCCCCCACAGCTAACCTTGCCCCACGCCCCTACAGCCCCTGAAACCGGCCCTGTATTATTGGTATCTCCTGGAGCTGAGTTTCTACGTCTCACTGCTGATCACTCTGCCTTTTGATGTCAAGCGTAAGGTGAGGCTGGGCCGAGAATCTGGCTGGGAAGTGATGCTGGGGGGGGGGGGGGGGAGTTGTGATCCAATCACGCATAGGGAGGGATGGCTTCACCCCCTACCCTGAGACCCCCCCCTCTGGTGCCTCAGGCGGGAGGACCCACAGTCCACAAGGTACAGATGCCTGCCAGCCAGCCAGCCCCCAGAGAGGGCCTGCCCCCAGCCCGGTGGGGTGCTCCCCCCCCCCAGACTCATCCCCGCTCTGACCCACCGTCTCCCGCAGGATTTCAAGGAGCAGGTGGCACACCACTTCGTGACCATCATCCTGATCGTGTTCTCCTACAGCGCGAACCTGCTGCGCATCGGGTCCCTGGTGCTGCTGCTGCATGACGCCTCCGACTACCTCCTGGAGGTGGGCCTGGCCCAGCCTGACCCCGCCCCCAGCCCCACCCTCCCAGCCTGACCCTCCCCCGCTCCATCCTCCCAGCCTCACCCGCCCCCGCCCCACCCGAGCCCCACCTCCCAGCCTCACCCCGCCCCCGGCCCCACCCTCCCAGCCTGACCCTCCCCCGCTCCATCCTCCCAGCCTCACCCGCCCCCGCCCCACCCGAGCCCCACCCTCCCAGCCTCACCCCGCCCCCGGCCCCACCCTCCCAGCCTGACCCCGCCCCCAGCCCCACCCTCCCAGCCTGACCCTCCCCCGCTCCATCCTCCCAGCCTCACCCGCCCCCGCCCCACCCCAGCCCCACCCTCCCAGCCTCACCCCGCCCCCAGCCCCAACTTCCCGGCCCGACCCTCCCCGCCCCACCCTCCCAGCCTGACCCTCCCCCCCAGCCCCACCCTCCCCACCAGCCCCATCCTCCCAGCCTGACCCTCCCCCCAGCCCTATCTCCCAGCCTTCCCGGGAGGGGAGACCCCACCCCACCCCGCCTCCCCGGCCGTGAGACCACGCCCCCTTCTGGCTTCCAGGGAAATGAAGCTTCTCACACTCCCGGAGACACACACTTCACCTTTCTAGACAGTTCCTGGAGAGGAAGCCCTGCCCTTTCCCAGCACCCTCCTTCTCACCTATTCGCCCCTTCCCCCCCTCCCTCGCCACCGTTGGCCTGAGGCCATTTCTATCTGTCGCCCTCCCCAGGCCGGTAAGATGTTCAATTACACAAACAGGCGGAAAGTGTGCGACGCCCTCTTCATCATCTTCTCCTTGGTCTTCTTCTATACTCGCCTCGTGCTCTTCCCTACGCAGTGAGTCTGCCTTCCCACTGGTTGGGGAGCAGGGAGGGAGGGCATGTCTGAGATCCAGGCCTGCCTCACCCTCAGTTTCCTGACCCATGGTGTTGGGGGTGTTGGCTGGGAGGCTTCCAGGAGAAGGCAAGGAAAGGTGTTCCTGGCACTGGGCACGGCATTCTGGGCTCAATCATTCTCCCCTGTGCCCGGAACATGGAGGAGGAGGCAGGGTTGGACACCCACTCACTAAAGTCTTTGCCCAGTCTGTTTGCTGATGAGGGAGCAACATGAAGATACCTGCTTAAGCGGAGCTGACGTGGCGTGGGTGGGGACTATAGTAAATAAGGCAAACAAGTAGAATATAAAGCATGAGAAAGTGATGTGCTAAAGAGAAAATGAGGTCGGGAAGGGCACAGGAAGTGTGTAGGTAGTTGGAATTAGGCTGGTCAGGGAAGACGTCACTGATGGCATTCATACAGAGAGACTGGAGAGAGAAAACCTGTACTGATCATAGGCAAAGAGTGGTCCAAGCAGCAAGCACAGCATGTGCAAAGGCCCTGGGGCAGGACTGGGCCTGCTGTGGAGGTACAGCAAGGAGGCCCATGTGGCTGGAGCAGAGTGAGCGAGGAGGAGACAGGGAAGAAGGGATGGACCGGGCAGGTCATTCTGGGCTTTGGGGGCCTCAGGAAGGACTTAGGCTTTTACCCCAGTGAGGAGAGAGCCCTGGAGGGCTGTGGGCAGAAGAGGGACAGACCTGGCTCAGGCTCACAGGCGCCCTCTGGTGGCTGCTGGGGAACAGCTGGTGAGAGGCCTGAGCAGGAACTGGGGAGGCCTGGGGAGGCCGAGCCCAGGGGACTGCGCTGGCCCAGGTGAGCCATGGTGGGGCTGGACCACTGCAGGTGACAGAGGTGGGTACACTTGGGGTCACTCGAGGGTCATGAAACAGGCATGCGCTCAGAGTTGCTGCTTGAGGAGCAGGTGCTCAGCTTTGGCTGTGCTGGTTTAAGGGGTCTGTCTAGAACCCCAGGCTTCCAGACAGAGACGCACATGTCCAGAGTTCGCAGCCACAAGACTGGATGGGGTCACTGGGTGACCTGGAGCCCCCGATATTTGCAGGTCAGGGCAGCCTGTGGAGGAGACAGGAATGCGGGTCCCTGAAGGCCCAGGAGGAGAGCATCAGGGAGGGCCAGCTGCCTGGGCAAGGCTGGCCACTGGTGACCCCACAGCCGAGCCGGGGGCGGGGCAGGGCGAAAGCTCACTGCCTGGGGGGCCTCGGGCCAGGGGGGCTCTGAGGAGGGGAGAGAAGGTGTGAAAGAGCACACAGGGGAGCAGTTAGACCACTAAGCATCCCCTTAGGGTTCACGGTCATGAATGGCCAGTCAGCAAGTGTGTGTTCTAACAGGTTACTATGACCAGGTGAGAGGGGCACTTAAATGCCCAGCTAAAGAACATCGCGATCCCTCTGGGGGGCAGAGGGAGCCATGGAAGGTGCTGGAACCAGGAGGGTCACACAAGTGAGAGGTCGCAGGGACTGGTGGCTGCGGCCGCTGCTGAAGCCCCATCTCCCCCCTGCTCCGCTGCTCTAGGATCCTCTATACCACGTACTACGAGTCCATTGCCGAGTGGAGCCCCTTCTTTGGCTACTACTTCTTCAACGTCCTCCTGATGGTGCTGCAGCTGCTGCACGTGTTCTGGTCTTGCCTCATCCTCCGCATGCTCTACAGCTTCCTGAAGAAGGGCCGGGTAGGGCCGGGGAGGCGTGGCTCGTGTGTGCCCCCCTGCAGCCCCCAGGCCCGGCCCGGCCCAAGCCTCACGCCCCCTCCCTGTTCCCCAGATGGAGAAGGACGTCCGCAGCGACGTGGAGGAGTCCGATTCGAGCGAGGGGGAGGCGGTCCAGGAGCACCTGCCGCTGAAGAACGGCGCCGCTCACAGGGCCGGGGCAGCCCCCACGGACGGCCCTCGGAGCCGGCTGGCCGGGCGGCTGGCCAACGGGCACACGCCGGCCACGTAGCCAGCCGAGGACTGGCCTCGAGGGCCGGCCCCCAGTGCCCCGTGGCTGGGATGTGTGGGGCTGGGATGTGTGGGGCGGCTGGACCGGTGGCCCTGGGGCCAGCTCTGGAGACAGGGACGGCCCTCCCCCGGGGGAGGCGGGGCAAGGGCTAATGATCTCTCTCCAGCCCCTTCCTTCTGCCCGCCCTTCCCTTCTCCCTTCCCTTCCCTTGGGCAGCTGGACAGAGCTGGGGAGGGCGCTCAGCAGGCCTCCGGTTCAGCCTGCCAGAGCCAGCTCCAGGCCAGAAGGAGTCCAATAAAAGGAACGGAGCCAAATTCTCTGAGAGCTTATGTCCCTGTTAGAGTTCCTCGTCCAACCCCGGAGGCCCCGAGGGGACTCTAATTACATATCCTACTGATGAGACACTCATCTTCGCCCCAAGACACATGCCCACCCCCAGGGGACTCAGCAGGCAGTGCATAGAGACCCCCCCCCCAGGTGAGTCCCTGGCTCCCAGCCAAGACTAGAGCCACGCCACCTCTTTCCAACACGGGGCCGCCCTTGGCCAGCCACTCACAGACCCAGCTTAAAGGGGAGAAGGCACTAGGCTCACCCAAGTCAGGCTGGGCAGCCCCTGCTCGAGGCTGGCAGAATCCCAGGGCCTCCGTGGAGACACTGAAATGGGGCCCAGGGGATGAGTTCCAGTGGGCTCCCCCAGGATCAGCCTGGGTGAGGTCACCACCTCTGCAGGAGCTCTGCGGGAAGGTGTTGAGGGTCCGGGAATCACACCACAAGCGCCCCCGCCGTGCAGGGCCAGATGTGCTGCCCCCGGGGGCACCAAAGAGGACAAGAGGCCTGGGATCGAGAGGTGGAAGAGGACAGGGACACGGGGGAGAGGAAGTGTGTGAAAGGCCAGGTCATTGAGAGCGAGAAAGGAGAGAGAAAGGACCCTAGAGGGGCAGAGGTGGAAGAGGAGGGGGGAGTAGGGGGAGGAGACCACCAAGCTGGGCCCTGGGGCGGGCAGTGGGGGGCAGGAAGCGGGGCAGGGGTATGGATCTGGTCGTTCTGCTCAGCAAAAGGGACGAGAAAGGCCCTGCTTTGTTGCCCCTGGGAGAGACAACAGGAAGAGGGACTGGAAGGAAGGGAAAGGGGCGCAAACAGGAGCTGCAGGAGGCACAGGAAGAAGCAAGCACACAGGAAGCGAGAAAGGAGAGACACTGAGGGGTCGGAGAAAGAGGCGCCAGGAGAGGAGGCAGCCAGCGTGAGTCGGGCGGGGGGATGGGGAGCTGGAGAGATGTTCAAGACTAGATGGAAAGACCTGGAGGGAAGAGAAAGGAGAGAACAAGAACCAAAGCAGGAGGGGTCCCTGGGTGGCTCAGTCGGTTAAGTGGCTGCCTTCGGCTCAGGTCATGATCCCAGGGTCCTGGGATCGAGCCCCTGCATCGGGCTCCCTGCTCAGCGGGGAGCCGCCTTCTCCCTCTCCCGTTCCCCCTGCTTGTGCTCTCTCTCTCTCTGCCAACTAAATAAATAAAATTGTTTAAAAAAAAAAAGAGAGAAGCAATGTCAATTATCCCTCCGTTTTTAAACATCTGTGAAGAGAGCTGATCTGAGGAGGAGGAGGAGGAGGGAGGAAGGAGGCGGGCAGGTGGTCCATAGGAAGGGTGTGAATGGAAGGACACTCATGCTCACTCAGCATAAGCAGGGGGCAGCTGAAGACTGCAGTGAAATCCCTTTCTCACCAGCTGTCCTGATACAAACACTGTTGGCACCCACTGTTGGGACTGGCATAGAAAAGGGACCAGTCCTGGTGAGCCCCCTGAAGAGGGGAATCTGGCAAGAACCAAAAGTACACACACCTTTCCTCATTATCCCTAGAGACACATCCAGATGTTCTGAGTACACGCAAATCAGCAAGAAACAACAACAGGTCTACAAAAGAAAATAGGACCAAAAGACACGGACATTTATAGCAGAAAAAAGTCAAGACCAATAAACATGAGAAGACGGATTCAATCTCATTAATGATCAGGGATATGCAAAGCAAGACTAGCAGATACCATTTTAGACACATTCAATTGGCAAAAAGAAAGAAATTGGACAAAGCAAGTGTTGGAGAAGACCGGGATCAAGAATCTCAAACTATTACAGCGGGGAGTGTGAGTTGGTAAACTGTTTTTGGAAAACCATTCAGCATCATGTAAAATTGTTGACCATTCTACAAGTTTCAAAAGCAACAAAGAAAATGATGTACTGTTTGGGCCAGAACATCTGTCCAGTAGGGCTGTTTCGTTAGGAAGCAGGACACAGAAACAAAGTCAGAACCGTGATGTTACCTTTGACCTTGCAGGGCAGGAGAAGGGGATTCAGGTAGACAGATACACAGCCTCTGTTCTAGCCTTCAGAGTTGCGAAATGTGCTGAGAGATACTCACATTAATAAATGTAACCTAAAAGGGATATGTAGAAAGACAACCTACAGAGTGGGAGGAAATATTTGCAGACCACAGATCTGAAAAGGGCCTAGCACTCAGAATATATAAAGAACGGGAACCCTACAGCATCAGCAAGAAACAAAAGGTGGGCAAAGGATTTGAACTGACTTTTTTTTTAAGATTTTATTTTTGGGGGCTCCTGGGTGGCTCATAAGCGTCTGCCTTCAGCTCAGGTCATGATCCCAGGGTCCTGGGATTAAGCCCCGCATCGGGGTGCCTGCTCAGCCAGGAGCCTGCTTCTCCCTCTCCCGCTCCCCCTGCTTGCGTTCTCTAGCTGTCTCTCTCTCTCTCTCTCTGTTGTAAATAAATAAATAAAATCTTCAAAAAAAAAAAAGATTTTTTTTTTTTTTATTTATTTGACGGAGAGCACAAGCAGGGGGAGCGGCAGGCAGAGGGAGAAGCAGGCTCCCCACTGAGCAGGGGGCCCAATGCAGGACTCGATCCCAGTACCCTGGGATCATGACCTGAGCCGAAGGCAGACACTTAACCAACTGAGCCACCCAGGCGCCCCTGAACTGACATTTCTCCAAAGAAGATACACGAATAGCCAACAAGCACATGAAAGAGGTTCGACATGGTAAGTCCTTAGGAAATGTAAATGAAAACCACAAGATAGTACTTCACATCCATAGGATGGATAAAGAAAAAAACCCCAAAACAAAAAACAATGTGGGTAAATATGTGGAAAAAAGGAACAACCCACATACTTTGCTGGTAGGAATGTAAAATGGTTAATCACTGTGGGACATAGTTTGGCAATTTCTCAAAAAGTTAAACAGAACTGCCATATGACCCAGCGGTTCCACTCTAGGCATATACCCCCAGAGAACTGAAAACAGATAAACGATACTTGTATATGAATGTTCATAGCAGCACCATTCACAATAGCCAAAAGATGGAAACAACCTAAATGTCCATCAGTGGGCAGATGGGTAAACAGACTGTGGTATATCCATACCAAGACATATTATTCAGCCAGAAAAAGGAAATACTGATTCATGCTACAACATGGATGAACCCCGAAAACATTAAACTACACAAGAGAAGCCAGACACAAAAGGTCACACATTTTATGGTTCCTTTTATATGAAATATCTAGAATAGCTAAAGCTATAAAAAATAGAATGTGCATTTATGGTTGCCAGGGGCTGGGAGGGAAGGGGGGAATAGGGAGTAACTGTTTAGTCAGTAGAGATTTTTTTTTTCAGAGTGAAACTTACTAAAGAACGCCTGGGGCGCAACGGCTGGTTCTGTGGTGGAGCATGCGACTCCTGATCTTGGGGTTGTGGGTTCGAGCCCCATAATGGGTATGGAGATTACAGGGAAGGGGAAAGGGAAGGGAAGGGAAAGGACTCCCAAATATCAGTGAGTAGAAGAGCCACCCAAAAGAAAAGAGGTCAATAGGATATGAACAAGCATGTCACAGAAGTGGAATTTTTTAAACATGAGAAAATACAATGGAATATAATCTTAAAAAGGAATGGAATTCTGATACATGCAATGATGTAGATCAACTCTGAGGACAGTATGCTAACTGAAATAAGCCAGACACAGAAAGACAAATATTGTATGAGTCCACTTATGAAGTGTCTAAAGTCGTCAAATTCACAGAAACAGAAAGTAGAATGGTGGTTGCCAGGGGCAGGAGGGAAAATGAGGAATTATTTAACAGGTATAGAGTTTCTGTTTTGCAAGATGAAAAGAATTCTGGAGATTGGTTACAATGTGACTATACTTACACCTACTGAACTATACACTTAAAATAGTTACAATAGTAATTTTTATGTTATGTGTATCTTACCACAATTTAAAAGAGAAAAAAAAAAAGCACACATGGGAAAGTCAGTAAACTAGGAATAGAGGGGAACTTCCTCAATTTGATAAAGAATATCTACGAAAACCCCACAGCTAGCATCATACTTAATGGGGAGAAGCTTGAAGCTTTCTGACTAAGAACAGGACCACGGCAAGGATGTATCACTGCCTTTCAGCATCAAACTGGAAGTATTAGCTAATGCAATAAGACAAGAGAAGGAAATAAAAGGGATACAAGTTGGGAAGGAAGGAATAAAACTGTCTTTGTTCACAGAGATGACCATCTACACAGAAAATCCAAAATAATCAACAAAAAAATCCTCCTGGAACTAATAAGCCAGTATAGTAATATAGGAAGATACATGGTTAATGTACAAAAGTCAATCACTTTCCTATGTACCAGCCATCCAAAAGTGGAATTTGAAATTAAAAGCAGGGGCGCCTGGGTGGCTCAGTTGTTAAGCGTCTGCCCTTGGCTCAGGTCATGATCCCAGGGTCCTGGGATCGAGCCCCGCATCTGGCTCCCTGCTCAGCGGGAGGCCTGCTTCTCCCTCTCCCACTCCCCCTGCTTGTGTTCCCTCTCTCGCTGTCTCTCTGTCAAATAAATAAATAAAATCTTTAAAAAAAAATGAAATTAAAAGCAGAATACCATTTACGTTATCACCCCCAAAATTAAATACGCTGGTATAAATCTAACAAAATACATACAAGTCCTATATGAGGAAAACTGCAAAACTCTGATGAAAGGAATACAAGAAGAACTAAATAAATGGAGAGATATCCATGTTCATGGACAGGAAGACTCATATTGTCAACCCATTCGTTTTTGCCAACTTGATCTACAGATAAAATGCACTTTTGGTCAAAATACCAGTGCGTTTTCTCAGTATTGACAAACTGATGCTAAGGTTTATATGGAGAGGCAAAACCCCAGAAGAGGCAGCCCAATATTGAAGAAGAACAAAGCTGGAAGATTGACACTACACGATGTCAGGACTTACTACAGAGCTATGATAACCGAGACAGTGA